AAAAAAAAAAAAACAAAGCTAGAGAGCAGGGCATGGCCCTTAATCCTAGCACTCAGGAGGCAGAGGCAGGCCAACCTGATGTACACAGCAAGTTCCAGGACAGCCAGGGCTACACAGAGAAACCCTGTCTCCAAGAAAAATAAAACAAAACAAAACAAAACACGCTAGGATTATGACAAGGGACCTCTACCATTTGTTTTAATAACATTGTTTGTCTTAACTGGGTATGGAGAGAATTGTATTTGTGGCTTTGTTTTAAGGTAATGATGTTACTTTCTATTTTAAGAAATGCTACTTAACCATCTCATTTGTATTCCTATGTGTCTTCGTAGGTGCTAAAGTTAGAGCAGAAATTTATGAAGCATTTGAAAACATCTACCCCATCTTAAAGGGATTCAGGAAGACCACATAGTGGCTGCCATGTACCCCGCCTCCCCTACCCACTTGTTTTTTAAAACCAGTCAGTTTTGGCACCACTGATGGTACAGTTGTGAGAAGGACACTCTTCACAGGTGGCAGTGAAGTGACATGTGTCCTGCTGCAGGACACTGGAAAGGTTACCTCCTCTGCACTGAGATCACCTGCAGCATCACTGTGAGTCGCTTGCTCTGTGCTGCTATCTGGGCAGCACTGCCCACTTATTTATATTAGATTTTAAACACTGCTGTTGATGAGTTTGTTGGTTTAAGGGACAGAACTTTAAGTGTTAAAGCCACCTGTACAATTGGACTTTTTATTTTAACTTTTCCCACATAAGCCAGTTTTTATATTTCTACCAGAAAAAGTAAAAATCTTTTTTTAAAAGTGTTGTTTTTCTAGTTTGTAACTCTAAGGAGTTATTTTTGTGCCAGATACATTCCGCCTTCCCAGTATTGCAGAACTGAATAGTTGTATTAATCAAAAACAAATGTACATACTTTTCTTTCTTCAGAGTACACTGCACAAAAAAAAAAAACAAAAAAAACGCAGCTTGTAAATTGTTAGATTTTTGTTATAAATGATACCTTGTAAGACATGTGATCATACTGTCAAAGAAATTTATTTTAGATATAATGCCTGAGATCATTGTTTTGTTTGCTTGTCATTTTTTTTCCTCTTTTGCCTGTTGCAGTGGAAATGGACTTACCGTTGGTTTTATGGTCCCCATTGAACACCTTGTTTGCTAGATACTCCACAGTGTCTGGGATCTTCACCAAACTAGTTATGTTTTGTTCCTTTCTCAGCCTTTGCCAGAGTCTTGTCCAAGGTTTCATAGCTGGTAAGGGACATTGGAGGGTTCTGAGTAATTCAGGTATAGAAGTGTGGTGTCCTGTCCACAGATAGCAAGCTTCTCTGATACAACGTTTTTGTTATGGCTGTTTTTCTCATGAAATATCAGGTGGACATTTATAAGGCCTTGGATTATTTTAGGAGCATTTTATGTCCTTTTTTTAATTATAAAAGTACATTTTTCACAGTTCAGAGTATGTATAATCAGAAAGAAGTCTTTTTATTTCCATCCTTACCTATTTCCCTAGGTAACTTCCAGATTAGTGAGTGTCTTCTAACCCTTCACCTAGATTATGCCTGAGCTCTCAAGTGATGGTAGCAGTGGGACACACACACACACACACACACACACACACACACACACACACACACACACACACACACACACACAAATAAGTGACTGTTTTCAGTTGGCATTAGCCCCCTGGAACTTGGGGTTACTAGAGTACCATTCTGAGATAAGACAGAAGAGTCCCATTGAATGCCAGTAGTTGGGAGAGTAAGGATTCAGTCCTCAGTGCTTACCAGTTACCATGTCACTCAGGACCAAGTGTGGTAAAGAACTGTGCACTAGGGGCTGGTATTGCCTTGCTGACTTCTGGTCCTGGCCCAGAACTTGGTGTGGTGAGGAAACGATGGATGAAGATGTTACTGTCACCTGGTGTGTTGGTTTCTAAGTTTTTAATGTGCAATTCTGTCCCTCAGGGCTACTTTTCATCTCATTTTTGGAAAAATAATGAAGCATATGTTCTTTTGTGACTTTCATTTTTGCAGTCAGTGTATCAGTTATACTTCCAAGATATACAATGTAATATCATCTTTGACACCTTGGTTTGAACTGCTCCCTTAGGGATGGTCCTTTGTTACCTGCAGTGCACATGCTGTACCGTGCTGGACCAGTTATTCTTGTCTGTGTATTTTGAATACATTCTAGATTTCTATAGTATACTTTTACAAGAGGAAGTGATGTATTATAAACCATTTATGTGTTCTAAGTTTTGACAAATCAATACTAGATTCCTATCCCCCCCAAAAAAGTATACAAAGTACCCCTTCTTGCACTTCCCAGACATTACTGATGTTAGTAATATGAGAACTACTTGGAAAGGCATCATTCTAGTATTTCTCTTCAAGATTATATGTTTTTCTTTTTAAGAGTTATAATTCTTTTTATATGGGGCATTTTCATTTCATAAAAATTAATTATTTCATTGTTTTTTCATAACACTTTAAGAAAAAATGTTGGTATATATTTAGCTTTTTCCAATCTATTTATTGAACTCTTATTACTGCTGTTAATAGTTGATTGTATTTGAACCCTACATTCTAGGCATGTAGTAGTTTTAGTAAGTAGTAATCTTGTTTTTTCTTTCTGGTATTTACTTTTAACATTTCAATGGCTGGGACTTCAATGCATGTAGCTAAAATTTTCCTGTGTCCTGCCACTCAGACCCAAGTGAACACACAGAGACTTATGTTAATTAAAACAGCTCGGCCATTAGCTCAAGTTTTCTACTGACTAGCTCTTACACTAAACTCGGCCTATTTCTGTTAATCTATGTTGCCACGTATTCCGTGGCTTTACCTGTGTGCCATTATATGCTGCTCCCTGGACGGCAGGCTGGCGTCCTCCTGCCTCAGCCTTCCTCTTCCCAGAATTCTCTTTGTCTGCTTATCCCGCCTACACTATACTTCCTGCCTGGCTACTGGCCAATCAGCATTTTATTTATCAGTCAATCAGAGCAATACATTCACAGCATAGAGAATGGCATTCCCCAGCAAACGTACCTTGCTTTTTTTCTTCTTTCTTTCCTGTTTCTATTTGAGACAGGTTGACAGGATTAGGGTTTTATAGCCCAGGTGGCCATGAATTCAGTGATTCCACCTTACTCTCTTAAGTAGCTGGGATTATAAGCCTCATGAACCCCTAGGTCTCACCAAGGTTTTTATTTAACCAGTTCTGTATTATGCATATGTTTATCTTTATTGTTAGTTTTTGACATACTGGTGACAGAACACAGGCTCTTGTGCTTGCAGGGGATGATCTCTGTGACTGACCTACCCCCAGAGTAGAACCCTTCATTCTTAAGGACATAGGGGACGGCAAATTAGTATGTACCGGTATGTTAAGTGTACTGCACCTAGATTACACATGCAGCAGTCTTTTTTGAGAAAGTGGTTGTGTTAGTGTTACTGTTGCTGTGATAAAATACCATGACCAAAAGCAACTTAGGGAAAAAAGGGCTTATTTCAGTTTATAGTTGTAATCCATCATGAAGGGAAGACAGGGCTGGAACCCAAGCAGAGGCCATGAAAGAATGCTGCTTACTGGCTAGCTCAGCCTCTCTTACACAACCTAGGACCACCTGCCCAGGGGTGGCACCATCCACATTGAGCTTGGCTCTCCCACATCAATCAAGAGTGTGCCCGCAGACTTGCCTACAGGTCAATCTTACGGAGCCGTTTTCTCAAGATTCCTTCTCAGATATGTCTAGGTTTGTCAAACTGACAAAAACCAAACAAGGTAATGGTCTTAGTGAGAAGGGATCTTGCTATATCTAGCCCAGGCCAATCTGATCAGGCACTCAGTTTATGGCCTGAGTTGGCCTTGAATCCATGGGCCTCCAAGGTTGACCCAAATGTACTCATGAGTGCCTGGCTGGTGCATTAATGTCCATACCACCTGGGGATATCCCTAAATAATAGTCCTTACCATTTATAAATAACTTAATACATTTACTTTTAAAAGCCCTCAGCATTCAGACCTTTCTCTTAATACATTTTGAGTAGACAGGGTTACAGGTAATTAGGGATGTGACGCCACACTCCTGTCTGGGTCTTTTCCTGAGTCACTGTGTTTCTACGTTTACCACTAATTGCCAATTCCTTCTACAGCTGTAATACTAGTTCTGTGTGGTATTGGGGAAAATTATAAAGGCCACTCCACGTAGTTAAAAGGAAGATTTATTTAGTGGATGACTTACAAATGAAGGAATAGATAGGTTGCGGGGGTCTGGGGAAGGTGTATCGCAATCCAGCGGTGTTCTCTGGAGCTCTGCACAGTCAACCTCCACCGTCCAGGGTCCAGGCACAGAGAGCGCGCACAGAGAGAGCGCTGGCCCATCCAGCTCTCACCCTCACCCCGCCTCGTAGGCGTGACAGTTGTCAGAGTCTCAATGGGGGTTGGAACTTCCAGATCCAAGCTGGAATGGCTACCCACTACAGTGTGGTTCTTATTATTTTATCTACCTCAAGTTAAAAATGAACATTTTCCCCTTAAAAGTAGCTTGGTAAATAACAGGTGTCCCCCTTAGGAATCTCTAAATGGTTCTACATGTATCTTAATGTACACATAGGTAGTATGAACTCGTAGGCCAGGACTTTGTATAATATGCTATAGCCAGATAGTCAGTGGTAGTAGGATGTGATATAACCTTGGCAGATTAAGATTCAAGGTGAACAGGGCTGCTAAGGTAACACTTAGCACAACAGCTCTGCTGAGGTTTTAGTGTGGGTCTCCGATGTTGGGAATTCACTGTGAGTAGGTGAAGACTGGAAGCACTGTTAACGTCTTAAGATGTGGCCATTTGCTCGGCCATGGACCATATAGAACACCCCATACCTGAAAGATGGCCTAGAACCTCCCTTTAGTCAGGGTGCTGCTTCCAGGGCCTGTTCCTTGTCTTCACTCTCCTCCGTCAACCCGGGAGGGCAGCCTGTACAAAGTCCCCTCCCTGGCTTTTCAAGGTCAGTTCTGAAGTAAGGCCTTCTCAAATCCAGGCTCCTGTCAAGCCTGGGACTACTGCTTCTTTACTGGCTCCTCCTTCATCCTACCCAGTCTAACAAAGTTTAGTTTTTCCTTGTTCTGGCACCAGACAGTATTGACTACTTCTGTTTTACCTACAAACCTCTTTAACTATAAATTTGGAGGTGGAGAAATGCTGTGAATGTGATGGTTTATAGAAAGAAATACACATGGTTCCTTCCAAACACTTTTTTTTTAATTGATAAAGTTCCAGACTCTTAATCTCTATTTTTATTTTATGTGCATTGGTGTTGGGTTCCCTGGAACTCAAATTACAGACAGCTGCAAGTTGCCATGTGGGTGCTGGGAACTGAACCCAGGTCCTCTGGAAGAGCAGTCAGTGCTCTTAAACACTGAGCCATCTTTCCAACCACCCCCACCCCCCAGATACTCTTTAAGATTTTATTCTTTGCTTATATGTATGTTTTGTGTATCTGTATGAGTTATGCCATATATATATACTGGGTCTCAGATCCTCTGGAGCTGGTGTTACAGGTAGTTGTGAGCTTCCTGATGTGGGTGCTAGGAACTGAACTTGGGTCCTTTGGAAGAGTAGCAAGCACTCTTAATAGCTGAGCCTGAAGCTGGAGAGATGGCTCAAAGATTAACTGAGCCCTGGCTGTTTTTGCAGAGGACCTAGATTTGATTCCCAGCACCCACATAGCATCTCACAGCACCCACATAGCATCTCACAAGGACCTGTAACTCCAGTTTCAGGGGATTGGGGATTCAGTGTCTTCTTCTGGCCTCTGAAGTATGTGGTACACATACATGCAGGCAAAACATGAATACATTACAAATACCAATAGTAATTATAAACAGCTGAGCCACCTCTCTAGCATATTTATTTCTGTGCACACATAATATTTCCACAAAGTTGAAATACCATGAACATCAATAATAATACCCTATACCCCTCTTACCTGGTATCAATGTATGTTTGTAACATTAACATTATCACCCTTCATTATGGATATACCAAAAATGTAAGTC